TGCTTCTTCACATAAATTACTATTTTTAAGTAACATACAGACATGAATAACTTGGGCTAACTGCAAATATAATGATTTAACTGTGCGTTGCTTTGCAGATCATCTGGTCGTACTGTAACCTTTCAATGAACATTTAAGATGTTCTTTAAGAATATCCTATCTCTGAGTAGAACTAGAGAAAAAATTAAACAATTTTTGAAATATCGTCCACTGAACAGTGAAGTAAACGCTAAACACTGTTATAATAAATAAGTACAACTGTTAAATAGCAGAAAATACACACACATGAATACGCAATGCTTTGTTATCGGCTTATCATTGTCCAATTAGTTCGTCTACGACTAACCGATACAAGTATACAACATTGGTTTATATTAATTGCAGAGTGGCTCGGTTGTGTTTTTGGCTATTTTCAGCAAAATGATAAAATCAATAATATAATATGATATGAAATGACAAATATCTTATCTTAATCTTTACCAGTGTGACTATTATGAATTAAAACTATTTAATTTGAAATACTTATGTAATTCAATACAAAAGATTCAATTTGTTTTTAAAAAAAATTAAAATGTAATAAAAATGATGAGTTAAAAATTTGAAATTCGCGCCCCTCTAAAATTAGCGCGCCCGGGGCATGGGCCCCGGATCGTCCCCCCCCTAGATCCGGTACTGTGCACTATTAATATTCAAAAAATATGACAAAATGTTTGCAAAATGACGATAATAAAAATAAAAAATTGCATCCAATTGAACTGAATATTCAATTCAAGGGTATATTTTATACCAAGAACTTTGAAAACAACGTTGTTTCTTACCAATTTTTCGACGGGGAAAATTAATGATTGGCTGTATATGTTTTTTATCACAATTTAAACTAATATCGAGAACTTTTGCATTAAATGAATCGTTAGAAATAGAATTGTCGTTTAGTTTTACAATTTTTTTTGGTGGTTGATCTACTATATCATGATTATCATTTACTGTTCTTGTTGATTTAGGAACAGGTTTAAAAAATTGGTTAATTATTTTATTATAAATTATCAATTTTAACAAAATACAAAAAAAAAAAAAACAATTTATAATAGTTTTAAAATATACACACAAAAAAATACCAAACGAAGACTCACTCATGGGCAGGGCCGGCGCTACGGGGGGACGAGCAGGGCCCTTGCCCGGGGCCTCGCGCTTTTATAAGGGCCTCACGGATCGAAACTTGTGTATAATAATATAAATATACCTAGACGCCATTCTTATAAAAGAGCCTCGCGGTATATTTTACCCAGGGCCTCGCAAAAGCTAGCTGCTTTTAACCCCTGCTCACGGGCTCGATTGTCAACCGTGACAATAAATTAAAAGTCGGTACTAAATAAAATATTCGTTATCTAATAGCAATGTCATAGTTTTTGACGCTCAACACTACGGCGGTGATCGCCGACCAAACGACGACGGTCGTCGGATCGTATAATATCAATATCAGGGATGGCGAATCTTTTTTAGTTCAAATGCCAAATTATTCCTTTTTAGGTATTGAAAATCGTTCACGTGCCCGAAAAAAATTATATTTTCTAAGACTATATATAGAATTACAGATTTATTATATTATTTTTAACAAATTTTAGTCATTATTAGTAGAAACACAAGCATAAATGGTTTCATTGGTCAAAACGTTTCTTCTCTTCGATTTAATTAAATTTGTTATAGCAAATAAGCTTTCACAAATATAAGTTGACAAAAAATATGAAAGCATAAGGAATATTGTCATTTTTAAAAAGTATATAATTTGTTTATTTTAATTTCTTACAACCAACATTTTATAAATAGTATATTTTTTTTTACAGTTTTTAATAATTTCGATTTTTTGCGCGTGCCATTAAAATTTGGTCAACGTGCCATTTTTGGCACCCGGGCCATAAGTTCGCCACCCCTGATCTATATAGAAATATGAGGTATTTCCAAGAAGCGCTTGAGAATTCCCGATAAATTTTACGATTATTAATTTTATTTATAGACAAATAATTATATTGTGTACAGCAAAAAAAAGATAAAAAATATGGTCACACAATTGCCTATGCAGTATGTTGATGTACTTATATTTTACACTCAGTATTCAGTATTCACTTATATAAATATAATTTTAAAATGCATATTTTGGGTATACTTAAAGGTTAAAAATCAGGGTAGGCCCGGGCCTACCAGGCCTACCCGCTGGACACTCCTCTGGTTGGAAATACAATTACTCGTAGAAGAATTACAACTAAGCTAACAAATCGAGCAAACCCTCAAAATATGACATCTGATGAACAGTACTTTAGAATGACTATATTTTTATCTTTCTAGGACAAATTTATATCTGAAGTTAATGATCGTTTTTTAAACCATAAAAATGTTTTAAGGAGTATGTTAAAGGTACTTCAACATTCAGTTAATAATTATAATTAATTTTCTGTTTCTAAATGTTATCTATTTTTCTTTTTCATAATTTAAATTTTTTGTTACTAGATTTTGAATGCTTATTTCATTCAAAATTTTCTGACGAAGACAGGAATGAAATTAAACATTTGGTTTATTTATATTCCCTCACAATTGATAAAAACAATATTATTGCTGTACTCAAGATGTGGAAATTGAAATTGGCTTCTAGTAACTTAAACCTAACTAAAAATGGATTAGAAGCTTTAGACAATTGCGATGAAGAAGTATATCCAAATATCCATTTTTTATTAAAAATATTTGTTAGTTTGCCTGTTTCAACAGCAACTCCAGAGAGAAGTTTCTCTAGTTTAAAACGCCTCAAGATCTATCTGCGTAATGCAATGAAAGAGCTTTATTTAATAATAATTATATAATATAATAACATTATTTGTTTAGACACGTTTAAATGGATTATCACTGTTGTCAATTCGTCGAGACATACGCTTATCAGTTGAAGAAGTTATAGATGAATTAGGTATCAAAAAAAACAAGAAAATTAGATTTTGTATTTTAATAACAAATAAGTATTTGATTTTGGTTTTGGTTTAATAAAACATTACAATGTTACAAAAAACTTGGGAGTATGACAAAAGCGTACATATGGTTTTCATTGATTACAAAAAAGCATATGATTCAATACATAGAACGTCCATAATCAAGATTTTAGAAGAGTTTGGAATGCCTAGTAAGTTAATAAGCCTCGTCGAGTGCAGTATTAGTCACACTGACATAAAGGTAAAAGTAGGACAAACGTTATCGAAAACGGTTCAAGTGACAACTGGACTAAGGCAGGGTGACGCCATATCACCGGTTTTATTCAACATAGTATTAGAAAAAGTAGTTAGAGAAGCAGCCTTAGATAAGGAAGGAGTAAAACTAGGAGAAAACAACATTGGAATATTGGCATATGCAGACGATATAGTCTTGATGGCAGAAAGCAAAGATAAACTCAAAGAACAATCAAAACAACTCATAAATGCTGCTAAACGTGTAGGCCTAGAGATTAACGCAGAGAAAAATGAGTATATGGTCGTGCAAAGACATGAACAAAAAGGCTGTCGTAACGAGGTCCTGGAAGTCGAAAACTACAAATTCAAAAGAGTGCAGCAGTTCAAATACCTTGGCACACTAATTACACAGCAGAATGAAATAGGTACGGAAATAAAAGCAAGATTACAAGCTGCCAATAAATGTTATTTTGGCCTGACAAAGTTATTAAAATCTAGAGTAATCTCGAAAAATCTGAAGTCCCAAATATACCAGACACTTATCAAGCCAGTGGTGACATATGGGTCAGAAACTTGGACCATGAGGAAAAACGACGAAAATGCTCTTTTAGTGTTTGAAAGAAAGGTACTGAGAAAAATCTATGGACCATGTAAAGACGAACATACAGGTGAATGGAGAATACGTAAAAACAAGGAACTTCAGGATTTGTATCAAAGACCAAGCATTAAAGAAGATATCACCAAAAGAAGACTGAAGTGGGCAGGACATTCTTGGAGAAAAACAGGGTCATTGATAAAAATAGTACAAGAGAATGCACCAAAAGGAAAACGACCACTTGGAAGGCCGAGGTTACGCTGGGAAGATAGGATCAAAGAAGACATAGAGAAAGTGAGACCAGGATTGGATTGGAAGGAGTTAGCTTTAGATAGAGAAACTTGGAGACAAATCTGTTGGACGACATGGTCTTGAAGGCCGAAGTCATGGAAGAAGAAGAAGAAAACATTTAATCTCAAGTAATGCGTTGTGTATTATAATTTTGGCAAACATAGAAAGTATATTTTATATTAATGAGCTTTTATAATTCCTGGAAACTTGTGGGGGGGCTTAGACCCCTCAAGTTAATAATTACCGTAAAGTCATATCCCCCCATGACAAAAACCTAAATACGCCACTAGTGAGAGAGCCATATTGAATTTTATAACGAAATCAAATTACACGTGGCTGTGAATACTGAATTGGGCTTTTTGTCTGGTTCATTAATGAAAAATCAAATAAAACACAAGCGTAACTTTCAAAACACAAACAAAGAAAAAGAACTATATAGAAGTCGGTTTTAAGTGGATCCGACATTAGATAAAAAAAAAATCACAAATATTAAGGATTCACCCGATTTAAATATTACTAAACATTTTACTTGTAAATGTTGAACCTGAATTAAAGAAAAATTTGAGTCCCCCCCCCCCCTTGAAGTAAGTATAAATACGCCCCTGGAATTATCTATAGTTTCACATAGTTCCAAAATAGTTACAAAATATTGATGAATGTTTGATGTAGATATGACAAACGGAAGCTGTCCCACCACAAACGGAAAAAATTGTTATAAAAATAATAAAAAAACAATACAATCAAATAAAATGTATTGACATTTTGAACACACTGGTTTAGAATATGTGCAATAACCATAGAGTAATAACTGTAAATCCAATGTGACCAATCTAATGTACACGAATAATGATAAAATTGTGATTTTTTATAAATTTTATCATAACAGTAGAAAAAATGTGAAAACATTGCCGTGTGGCATGATCACCATTAATTGATAACGTGATTATTTCTTGGGTTTCGGCTCATTTTTAAATTACCGTGTTTATTAGATTAAAATCCTTCACAATTAAGGTTGATTATTTTATACTGATTTGTAATCCTATAAATAATTTACAGTTGTCATTAAATTACTATGGAAGAGCCACCAGTAAAAACAGCTAAGCAGTTGGAAAAGGAAGCAAAAAAATTAGCTAAATTGGAAAAGTTTAAACAAAAAGTAGATCAAAAACAAAAAGCACCAAAAGAAGAAGTATGCTCTCTTACTTAAAATTATTATTTTTCATGTTAGACACTTGTATATTGATTTATAATATTAATAACTGATTTGTAGCAATTAAATTGTATGCTTATATAATTATATTAGCCTTTATTTCTCATGAAATAACTAAATAATTTCTTTTAAGAAAAAAGAAAAAAAGGAACCAATAAAAAAAGAAAAAGGAGTAACATTATATGAACATGATACTAAACCAGGAGACAAAAAAGATATTGCATGTCCAATGCCTGATTCGTATAGTCCTAGATACGTTGAAGCAGCATGGTACAGCTGGTGGGAAAAAGAAGGATTTTTTAAACCAGAATATGGGGTAAACTTTAGTTTTATTATCATCAAATTAAATTAAATTAATTAAATTAATTTCAATTTTATTATTGTAAAGCATACTTAGTTATTTAAGAAAAAAATTATTTTTCCAATAAATTTAATTACTTTTCAAAAACTTGACTTATTTTGTAGCACCTAGATAATAATAGTAATAATATACTTGTACAATTTTAGAAAAACCTACAAGAAGACAACCCAAACGGAAAATTTATTATGATTATTCCACCTCCTAATGTAACTGGATCATTACATTTAGGACATGCTCTCACTAATGCAGTAGAAGATGCAATTACTCGTTGGTAAATATTATGTTTTCAACTATTATAAATTTTTAAGATCAGTAGCACACACAGGTTTTTTTAGCAAGTAAAGGGAGTTGTGCTATTTATAATTTTGAGATTAATTTTGTACAACCCTATTCAAACATATCATAAAATGTTCATAAAGAAGATATTTTTATGGGGGGAGGTTATAACCTCTTAACCACTACCACCCATGTGTGCTCCACTGTTATAGACTATATAAACAAATATAAAAATAACACTGTGTCTTAAATATTAATTAGGAATCGAATGAATGGAAAAACCACACTATGGAATCCTGGATGTGACCATGCTGGAATTGCAACTCAGGTAGTTGTTGAAAAAAAATTATGGCGTGAAGAAAAAAAAACTAGACATGATATTGGACGTGAAAAATTTATTGAAAAAATTTGGGATTGGAAAAAAGAGTGAGTAATAATTTAAAGTTAAATCTATTATAATTTTAAAGTTTAAATATATTCTAGGAAAGGTGATCGTATATATTTGCAGCTGAAGTTGTTAGGGTCCTCATTGGACTGGGATCGTGCTTGTTTCACTATGGATCCAAAGCTTAGTCGAGCAGTAACAGAAGCTTTTATACGTTTACATGAAAGTGGTGATATATATAGAAGCAATCGCTTAGTAAATTGGTCATGTGCTTTAAAGAGTGCAATTTCTGATATTGAGGTTAATTGATATTCTATAAATATATATATTAGTTAACTATAAATATTGATTTAAAATATAATTTTATTTGAAATTAAATTTTTACTAATTTATAGGTAGACAAAATTGAACTACCTGGTCGAACTTTCTTATCTATACCCGGTTATGCAGAAAAAGTTGAATTTGGTGTTTTGGTATCTTTTGCTTATGAAGTTATTGGAAAAGGTGAAAAAATTATTGTTGCTACAACTAGGATTGAAACAATGTTGGGAGATACAGCTGTAGCTGTTCATCCATCTGATTCTAGGTACAAACATTTACATGGCAAATTTGTGCAACATCCATTTTGTGACAGGAAGTTGCCTATAGTTTGTGATGATTTTGTTGAAAAAGATTTTGGAACTGGTATGTTTTTAAATTTTTTATGTTTAACATGACATTTTTATAATGGTAATATAATTCAAGTATATATTATTATTATAATTATTTTCAGGTGCTGTAAAAATAACTCCTGCTCATGATCTAAACGACTATGAAGTAGGTAAACGCTTGAATCTACCATTTTTAACAATATTCAATGATGATGGTGTAATCATTGGTGATTGTAAGCAGTTTAATGTAAGTTGTTTAAAATAAATGAAATTATTTTCTTGGGTTGAACTTTATCAAATTCTATTTTTTTTTTTAAAGGGATTGAAAAGATTTGAAGCTCGTAAAGTTATTTTAGAGGCATTGAAACAAAGGAATCTTTATTGCGAAACAGTTGACAATCCAATGGTTGTACCTATATGTAGTCGATCTAAAGATGTTGTAGAACCACTCATTAAACCACAATGGTATATTCGTTGTGACCAAATGGCTAAACAAGCATCCGAAGCTGTCACAAATGGTCAACTTAAAATTGTACCATCTCAACACAATAAGACTTGGTTTCATTGGATGGAAAACATTAGGTAGTTATAAAATAATAATAAGCTTCAATCCTTTAATAATTTTTATTTTATTTTAGGGATTGGTGTATATCAAGACAACTTTGGTGGGGTCATCGAATCCCTGCATATTTTGTTACTTTTACTGATCAACCTCAAAATTCAGTATGTTGAAAAATAAATATGAAAACCATTCTAGTTATAATATTTAAATAAATATGTTTACTTAGCTTAATGAAGATGATTGCTGGGTGAGTGCATATTCTGAAGAAGAAGCCTTACAAAAAGCAATCAGCAAATTTAATGTTCCAAAAGAAAAGATTACACTTAAACAAGATGAAGATGTCTTAGACACTTGGTTTTCATCAGCTCTTTTTCCCTTCTCTATATTTGGATGGCCCGATCAAGTATACAATTACTATATCATTTTTTGATAGCAAAATCTACTAGTATTGTTTTATTTATTTTAGACTAATGATTTAAAGTTGTTTTTCCCTGGAACTCTACTAGAAACTGGTTATGATATTTTATTCTTTTGGGTAGCTCGAATGGTTTTTTTTTCTCAGCGCTTACTGGGTTGTTTACCATTTAAGTAAGTAAAAGTTTTATTTATTATGTGTATACTTGATAATAGTAATCTAAAAAATTGAATTATTAAGCTTAAAGAAATAAAATAGTAAACTTTTATTTTGATTCTTTTGTATTTTACAATGTTGTTTATAAATAGGACAATATTTTTGCATTCTATTGTACGTGATGCTCATGGTCGTAAAATGAGTAAATCATTGGGTAATGTTGTTGATCCAATAGATGTTATTAAAGGTATATCTTTGGAGCATTTAAATAAGCAACTCTTAGATAGTAATTTGGATATGAAAGAAATAGAAAAAGCTAAAGCTGGACAGAAACAAGATTATCCTAATGGAATTCCAGAATGCGGAACAGATGCATTACGTTTCGCTTTATGCTCGTACATGTCTCAAGGTGCGTTTATGAAATATTCAAATTTAACAAATCATAATTTTAATTATTTTATTTTTTTATAGGACATGATATAAATTTGAGTATTCTTCGAGTGCAAGGTTATCGTTTTTTCTGCAATAAACTTTGGAATGCCATAAAGTTTGCACTTATGTATTTTAAAAAAGAATTTGTACCATCTCCATTATCACAAGTAATTTATATAAGATAATAAACATATTTATTTATCAATTATATAAAATAATCCTAATATCTATTAGAACAAAAACTTGGATAACATGGATACTTGGATTTTAAGCCGCTTAGCGCTAGCTGTAGAACTATGTAATACATCATTTGAAAACTATGAACTTAATGGTGCTACAACCGCGTGCTATAACTTTTGGTTATATGATTTATGTGATGTTTACTTAGTAAGTTACAATAATTTATTTTAATTTTTTTTTTTTTAATAATTTAATATTGTGAATATTAATTTTAGGAATCACTTAAACCAGTATTTGCATCTAATAATGAGAGTAAAACTCAAATTGCTCAAAATGTTTTATTTAATTGTTTGGACACTGGTTTGCGATTATTATCTCCATTTATGCCATTTATTACTGAGGAACTTTACCAAAGATTACCACATTTTGATACTACTAAATATCCAAGTATATGTGTTGCTCCATATCCCTTACCTGTAAGTAAAATAATACTGATATTAATCAAATATTATGTACGTTATAATATAATAGATGTATTTCATTAAATTACATAAATAGTTAATAATAATAAATTATACTATCATTTAGATAAAATATTCTTGGCGAAATTTAGAAATTGAAAATGAGGTTGAATTTATTCAAAAAATTGTACATAGTATTCGTTCGGCTTTATCAGATTATAATGTTCCTAAGAGTTCCAAAACTGAAACATATATTATGTGTACTGAACAAAGAACATTAGAAACTGTTGCAAAGTTTAAATCAGAGATAGCTACATTTGCCAATTGCAGTAAAGTGGAACTTGCAGATACTTCTTCTATGCCGACTGGATGTGCTATTCTATCTGTATCTGATAAATGCCAAGTACATCTTTTACTGAAGGTAAACTATTTTAAAAATTTAGCGCAGAACATGCATTTTATTAAGAAATATTTAAAATATAATTTTTAACTAGGGCTTAATTGATACTATTAAAGAAGTGGAAAAATTAAAAAAAAAAAGCGATTCCTTAACTCTAACCGTGCAAAAACTAAATAAGGCAATGAGTGTTGCAGACTATGAAACAAAAGTTCCTGAAGATATTAAAAATGCAAATAAAGAAAAACTTAGGCAGTCGCAAGATGAATTGGATAGACTTGTTGAAGCGATTGAAGTACTAAAAATAATGGATGCTTAATAATAGATATCAGATAAAGCCATTTTTCTACTTCTTATTTTTTCTATGCCTCTTAGGTTAATGGTTTTATTTCATATATTTAAATATATTTTTTATTGGCTTAAATAAATAAATGATTGCAATTTTCATTGAATATTTACAACTAAATTTTAATATAGCACCATTTAGTTACTTATTTTTCCTTACAGGGATGGGTGTACTTTGTAATTTTACCAGAACATACCAAATCTATTATTAATTATAGCAATGCGAGAATTTTGAAAAATTTTGAAAACTAATACAAATTGAAAATTATATCTAATTCAAATTGATTAGTCCTCTTTTCTTGATTTCTCAACCCAACAAAAATTATATTTGATTTTAATATTTAAAAAATTTTAAAATGTGAATTGATCAATATCAAGTAAAAGTTATAATGAATTCTTATTAGTTTTCAAAAATGTATTGCCCATCCTTAATGTTCATTATTAAATGAATAAATACACTTAATGTGAAATGTAAATTAATAAAAACCAACATATTTAATGAAAGAGGAACTTTAAATAAATAGATATTGATGATTCTTATGTTTAAAAAATATATAATTCTTTTTCAACTATAAATACCCCAATATTGTTTAGATTTTCTATACTCATAATAGTGCATAAAAATGACTACATTTTTGAGAGATGAAAAAACCCTTTCATATGATGCCTTTTTAAATAATAAAATGATTGATTAAAGTAAGAATAATGGTGATTTTTTAGTGCAAACAAAGCAACAGCAAGTTCACATTAATTTTATTTGCTAAATACTTGGCACAAAATATTTAAGCTGTTCAATATGGATTATAGACTAGAACATATTGGTATAACTTATTACAATCGATTCATTTGTGAAGATTGTATTTTTACGTTATAAAAATGGTATATTATAATTCTATGTTAGAAAATATAGCAAATATATTGTTATAGTTAAGGACCGGATATAACTGCATTAAAAATATTTAAAAATTGCACTAAAAATATGGAAAAATTGCTATGAAAAATACATTGAAATTACTTAGTAAAATCATATAAAATATATAATCATTAACAACTTAAATAATATTTTGGACATTAATATAATATTTTCAAAAAATATATATTTTCTAAATTAAAATTTCATTAAATATTTTCAAACTATTAAGTAGTATGATTTTAAAAATGCTAAACTACATTTAACTGCATGTAAAAATGTACATCGTATTCATATTTTTATTGTAAAATTATTTTAGAAATAATAATTTGTATATTTGTTCATGTGAAGTACATTAAAATTTGCAAAAAAATTGCATTATTAAATTAAATAGGAAGACTAATTAATCCGATTCGTATACATATTTTATCAGATTTGATTTAACTGGTATAAATAAAAAGTTGCAATATCTATTAAATCCAGTCTTTAGTTATAATATTAAAGTTATATGCTCGCACTTGTCGTTAAAAAAAAAAATTAATTAAAAAATGTTTTGAAATAGACATTTCAGGGAGAGTAAATATTAACTACTAATAATTATTGAACCTCAAAGCACAACATTTTTTTATGTAATTTAATATGAAAAATTATAGATTCCAAATTTGATAAAAGATTACATATAAGATCTAGTTTACCAACACCATAATATATGTATAGTTTTTTTTTTTATGTGCATGCTAAATAAATAAATACAACATGTATTATTCAAAACCCAAAATCCTTTATGCCTATATTATAACCTAATTAAAAACACATTTTTTGTTTTTAATTAATTCATTTTCAAAGTATAAACAAAAATTGAGATAGTTTTGGCAGTGGTTATAAAAAATTACAATATTTTGACATGTAAAGAAATATGTATTGACGAGTGGTGAACAATAATAATATAAAATGTAAAAGACAGTAGCGTATGCGATTATAATTGTTATTTAAACATCATTATTGTTGTACAACTATCATAACCGATAAAGTTATAATTTACTATATGTAATTTTATTGCAATTATTCGTCGATTGACAATTAAGAAGTTAAGTAAAACGTAGTGTAATGTAGTATGAACATACACTTACATTCTAACAATAATTTATTACACACAGTTGCAAGTCTTGCACACATGAAATTTTGGATTCACTTTGGGACCTGTCGTTTGAGTCTATTAACCGAATGAGTCAATAAGACAATGACCCCCCCCAGAAAAAAATAAAAATATTTATTTACTAAAAAATATTTATTGAGATTTCAGGATTGTTTTATGCTGTAATAAAATAAAGTATAAGTATTAAATAGAAAATATTTTGTTTGATTAAAAATAATGTAATAAAATACGGTAATAAAATAACGAATTACATACATAGTTACATTTTCAATAGAATCCATCCAAAGTTGATTAGATTTAACTAACCTAACCTTCTTCGGTCAACTTCATAATCACCTATATGCATTTATAGCATGATTACTTGTACATTGGACGTATGTACAATATTATATTTATTTATCTAATTTAAAATGACCCCATTAACCGATGTGTGAGTCTAATAGACGAATTTTTCGCTGTGTGTTAGTATAGATGCAAATCGGGAACAGTCGTTTTGAGTCTAATAAGCGGCGACCACTATATTTGATTGCACAAACATCAAATAGAGTCCAGGCATAAGGACTCCTATTTTTAATTTATATATACATATATATATACATATTTGAACCTATAAAAAAAAAAATATATATGTTATCTACAAACTACCACTTGTAATTTTTGTGTAGGTATAAATAATTCTATAAACCTGTATCGACCTTTTATAAGGGTTCAATAGACGATATCCGATAATTTATATTTTTTTATTAAATAACTTTGATTACTTGTTCAGTGTTCATTATAATATAAATTCTAATAAAATAAATATTTAATTTTACCACATTTATTATATTTATTTATTTTTTGGCATATCTTAGCGCATATACGGTTATTTTTAGGTGCATATTTTAGAGCATATTTAGTCATTTTTTGGTGCATATTTAGGTATTTTTTAGAGCTACAAGTTCCTAAGCCTAATTATAACCTTTATTAATATTCATATCATAATATCACAAATTATAACTTCTTTAACATTAAGAATCACGGTGTTTTGATCCTATGCTAGATATTATTGGCATATGAATACTGACTATTTCACATTCCAAAAAATTAATCTTGCTTTTTGATTACTGTGTGAAAAGTTATTTCAAAATTAATTATTCCACTTAGTAGTGACCAGAGTTTAGCACTTTGTAACATATTCATCACCAATAGATAAATGTTGAATAGGAGATTTAATCAACACTAACAAAAATTGGATTTTATATTTAAATATATTTATACTCTGCAAATAATGGAATTTTCCAATTATTATTTTATCATGTAAAAAATATCAATAATTTATAAACAATGTGTCTACTTAAATTTAAAAACAACTCTTAAGTTTTCACTTTCAATAATAATTTTAGTATTAGGTTCTATCAAACTACTAGTTATATATTTTTACATATTTTATATTTAATCAACAAAAAAGAAAAATAATGAGTAATAATATTGTAACATACAAATTATTTAAGATTTATAAAATTATATGACTACATTGATGAGCATTAAATAATCATTATCAGAGGCAAAATGCTGGTCCATTTTTTGAAATTTGGTGTTGAAAATAATATGAATATATAAAAATTTTCCAAAAAATAATTATAATATGGAAAATTTTGTATAATTATAAATGTGGTAACCACTAATTTAAAAAATAGTGTGATTGCATATTAAAATATTTTATCACAATTATTATTATAAAACTATATACCCTAAATCTGAAGAGAGTATCATTCAAATTTCGTCCAATTTGATTTGAAGTTGGCTGGTTTTGGAGGTAATGGTGGTCCAGAAGGTTGATTTGGGGACATGGATGGACCTGGTTGTTCCGTAAGACTCAATGAATCAAAATTCAAGCCATATTCGTTAAGCAAATCATTATTATTTTTAGTTTCTGATTGAGTTTTGTTTAATGGAACAAAATAATGATACAATGGATTAGTAAGACCTACTCCTGGTATCAAGCCATTATTGTTAACTGGACTTTTCAAAGGATCAAAATCATCAATACTTGACGTTGAATCTAATCGGATCAGATCTTTAGTTTCCATTGGACATTCAGCCGGTGCTGACCCAAATGATGTATTAAAAATGTCATCATCTGTCATGAAGTTAGAACTGACAGAATCTTGCCAGTCATGGTCAGTACTAGCTGTATCAAAGTTCTAAATAAAAATAAAATCTTTAATTAGGATTAATAGTCTATCAATAAGTACAAATATATTCACTAGCATACCAATAGAGAATTAGGCGTATTATTTCTAGGAAAATTTCTAAATAAAACATCTTTTAAATCCTCCATTAAATCCATGTTGAGCTGAGGTGGTGGAGAACATGAAACTTCTTTCAGTAAACTATTTAAAGAAAAATGTCCTTGAAATTTAACACAATTATACTATAATGCAACTATCATGATAATATACTAACTTTTGTGCATTAGTTAACTTTTGTATACCATTTGAAGTTTCTTTACGATAGCTAGCAGATGCAGTAGTGAAAGCAGTTGTATATGGCCTCGATGATCTCCTCTGCACAGAAGGAGAGCTTGGGGCAGAATTAGGTTGAGTACTAATTTTAGTTCGAGGATTTTTATTCTGAACATGGAGTTTTGATCGAAAGTCTTTATAAGCTGACCGTACATCTCTACCCCGTTCTTTAACCTGAAAAATAATAATTTTACAACCGTTTTTTTTTTTTTTTTTTTAATATTTAGAAAAAATAACTTACAGTTTTTACAGCATTTCGTACTGCAGGATTAGTCTGAAAATATATTAATAATAATGTGTATTAATTAATCAAGTTTATCCAATAATTTATTAAAAAATCGCTTTATGTAAATAGAAATATAATTGGAGTTAATACAATTTTAAATATTACTCTTAGTAACTTTTTTTTAAAAAAAAACAATTCAAGTAATTACAGTTTTCACTGTAATAAAAATTATAAACATGCATGTTTTAGTATAAATTAATTACTTATAATTGGTGATTTTGAAAATTTGTCTTATAACCAAATTTAGTAAACTACAGATAGTTTAAACATTTATGAATAAACTGTTATAATAGTTTATTTATTTTATATACTATCCACAAAAAATGCTACCATAAAATACTTAAAATTACAAACTTACCACATTTTTAACAGTTTTAAAGAATGCAGTTCCTTCACGTTTCACAGTGAATGTCCATTCTTTGTATTGTTGCTTTAACCTATTACTAGACTTTTCATGATAGTTACATACTTCCATTTCAAATTCATCAGAAAAACCAAGCCCTGCATTTAACATTTCTAATCGTTCCTCTATAAACTAAATACAAAAAAAATACATACATTTTTTCAAATAATTCAACTAAAAAATTAATATTCTGAGCATACAAATAAGAGCCAGTCATCTGTTTGGTAATAATGTGTAAACATTTTTATTCAAAATGAAAAATAGAAAAATAATTTAAAAAGAGTGTAATGAAAGAAAGGTCTACAAAACAAGATGCTTGTATCCACCACCAATTATTCCCAAAATGTGGCCAGTAGATAATAGTTTGAAATTTGGTTTACCAAAAACCAAAAATGTAATAGAATCATATTACCATTATAATTGAGTAAAAATGGTTTTTTATAGTTTTAATAAAATATTTAAAGAATATTTAAATTTTAAATTCATAAACTTATTCAGAAGTCCAAAAGGAAACTGAATTAACATTTGAATAGCTCATTTAAGAATATATCAATAAAAAAAATAAATATAATTTTTGATGCAATCAAATCAAATTAGAATAATAAGGAGTGTTCATCAATGAAAATATGATAACCATAACAATAATTATTGAACGAATGGTTTTTCGTGTACATGACTTTCAAACAGGCAAATCACATCTTGTACAAATATTAACAATTTAATAAAATATATATGTTAACGGCATTATGGATAATTCATATATTTTAGAAAATACCTAGGCATTATGAAAAATGCCAATTTTTTTTTTAGGCAAAGTACAAAACATTTTATTATATGTTATATTACATTAAGATTCTTATAATTATTACACAAAATTTAATTTTTATCCATTATTATATTATTACTATTATATAAATATTTTATTTAAACTACTATTTACTTATTATAATACGTTATAGAAAAGTGACATTTTAAAGTACACAAAATATTATTTTTAAGGCAAATGCACTTTTTATTTTGACACTTGAACTTACAAACCCATTTTAAAAACCCTTGGCAATTCTTGTGGATTCAATTTAAATCAACTCATTATACTGTTCATCAGATAAAAAACTAGTATGAGTGGCCAATTTTAAAAAAAAAAATTGAAGTTTGTTATAAAAGTTGACTTCATATAAATTGTATGCATAGTTGAAACACCAAAACGAGACACGAAAATGACAATATTGTAAAAAAATTATTAGTACGTTCAATATTATATCTCAGAATTATTATTATAGTAGTAAAAGAATATTAATTGTATTTATTGTGTTAAATCGTGAACACACATGTATATGATAAACAATAATTAAAGTCGTAGGTAATAGCTGATGTCCAATTTTGTTTGTTATCTTCATATTGCCTACTCTACGATTGGCAATATACATAATACCAAGGCAAAGCTTGTATTATGTATATTGCCCTGTGATTTTTGGCATTTTGCAAAATACCAGATCATCTATATTACCGGTAAACATATACAAAGACTACCTGTTGAAAAATCTGTAATTCCAACATTTTTTTTAAAAATGGTTGCATGTTTGATGATCTAGACTCTATAAATGCATCTTTATTAAATGTTATACGTTCTCCTTGATGAAACTTTAATGCATCTCTATAGCCACCAATCAACAGGACAAGAGCTCGCAAAAAAGCTCTTGAAACACCATCTCCTAACACAGTGCCTTTATTACGTAATAGCCGCTTTAAAATGGATACCTGAAAAATAATAATTGAAATAACAAACATTAAATTAAATAAGTAAACTATGTGTTGTAAAAATAAACAACTAATGATAAACATATTTCTAATTTATTTAAAATTATTACAAATGGGTTTATTTAAATGTGAAATCATACCAAAATGTATTAAATATATCAATTATTTATTTTTTGAAAAGTAATGTTTAAAAAGTGTTTCAAACTATAAAAGTTCTGTACATAATTGAAACAAAATTAAATAATAACTAAATGTTAAGCTATGAATCCTTTATGAATCATTCAATATGTAAGATATATATATACTGACAACATCGGTAGGAAGATTTTCCAAATCATTAAATGGTGTTTCAATAGTATTTTTGTCTGCATCCAAAATTACAACTTCTCCTAAGTCATTACGTTGCAGGTTCTAAAAAAAAAAAAAAGATAATAATAAATATAAATACAGTAAAACTAAGTATAATTAATTATAAATTGTAAATAGTTACTTGGAATAAAGAGTAAGGTAAGCCAATCAAATAAGGCATTGGTGCTAATAAGTAATCAATAAGTGACTGAGGTAATACCGGAATAAATATATGTTGCCAGTTCATTGGATATAGAATCGCATTAGCAGATTGAACACAGGCACTCAACCGGTATAATTTTTTTGAAGTAAAGATAATTCGACGTTCAAATAACATGGAAGCAAAGATAATAATCATATTTTGACTATCAACTGCATTGTAATACTCAGTCAGATTTCTCTAAAATAAAATAAAAGTGTTAATATGCAGTGTTATAAATAAAATATGAAAACATGAATTAACATAGTATAAATTTTATTTTATAAAATTAAATTAATTATGGTATTAGAATATAAGACAAAATACCTATAAGTAATAACTCACATTCTCTGGAATGCTTGGTAACTGGAATTGAATAGGGGACTGACAAACAAATAACTAAAATTATATTAAAAAAACATAAATAAATGAATAATACTCAATTATTAACTAAGAATATTTTAAAAATCCATTACTTCTTCTCCATTATCATTGTTAATTTTTAAATCACATCCTTTGATTGGTAGCTTACTGTTGTACACAGACTCCAAAAATGGCCATAAATCTTTAGACTTATTACTATTTGTAAGATTTGATATACAATTTAAGAACCTAAATCAGTAACAAATTATACATATAACTAAATGCCATAAATATTAATAAAAAAATGTCTTACTTATAAAAAGACTCATGCCAAGGAAGGTAACTGAGAACAACTAAAGCAGTTTCAGATTTAGGATCATGCCTACAAAATCCAAATGTCCATTTTGAGTCAATATTAGTTAACACAAATGAATAATGCTGAATTACGGTTCTAACAAAACAAAAAGATTAAAAACAATATAAATAAAATATTAGACTAGTTTAAAAAATGTAAAAACTTACTTATCAAATTCACAAGGATATGCAAAATCAGGTAGAGTACTAAGCATTTCATCCTGTCTATAATGTTCTGGAAACTTTTGGAGAATCCACGGAGAAGTATTTTCTTTACTAGGGCCAGCAACTTCACAAAAACACTCAAATAAATGAGTTACATCATTCCTGGTTTAATGTTTAAAATTAATATAAATTTTAACAAGATATGTATGAAGAAGTTAATAGTAACATTTGTAAAAGTCATCAATTTACATCTTACTATATAACTTAATAGGTATACAATATTTGAGAATACAAAAATATGAAGTATCTAATTAAGCTGCAATTATCAAAGAATAATTTATATAATAACAATATAAATATGATTCATAAATAAGGCTGTGAATTTAATGCACTAAAAAAACCTTAAAAAATGTATTAAAAATTTTAAAAAAATGTAATAAAATATACAATTAAAATGCAAAAATATTCAATATAAAATGCCAAAAATTATAGTATAAAATGCTTTTTAATTTAATTTTTATATTTATATTAGGTACAGTATATTGTACATTAGTACATTAAATGCATAAATAAGTGTTTATTTAATAAAAAAAAAAAAGAAAAAAAAATTTTGATCGAATTTGATTTTTCTATATGTACTATATTTTAGTATTTATTTTATTAAAATGATAAAAAAAAATTTTAATATATTTATTTTCGAGTACCTAATTAAGTCTTTAAAATTTGATTAAAAATACCAGAAAATTAACTAAAAAAGGAAAATATGATTTAAAAATACACAAAAATGACCTAAAAAATTAAAAACATGAAAAAATGCAAAAAAATGCAAAATAAAAGTTGCATAAATGGATTCGTAGTTACATAATTCAAATTATGTACTTACAAAGCTACGTTTTACAATCACCAAAAAAAAATGTACTTTCCTACAAATTCTTAGCCCTATTCATAAATTTTTAAAAAAAATGTCAACGGTAATAAAATTGTTTTTAAATATCTTTGATATACTACAACACTATTAATCGATTTTTGTATCAATGTCATAATAATTAATTAAGTAAACAGTTAAATGCTCACTTTATCCGTGACCCCATTCCATCAAAGCTGTTAATATTTGACAAATATAAATTGTATATAAATTAAATGGTGTTGGCGAAAAAAATGTAACTTTTAGGAATACATAAGGCACACGTCTTCAATGCTCAACAATTGAAAAACTTTACGGCTACATTGATTTCACTTTTCCTGGCTTTTTTATTACCAGGTAAAACAAAACATTTAGAATCTCGAAAGTTTTAAGTTACATTTTAAACCACAGATGACAGATAACACACCTATCTAATCTAATCTGTCGACAGTATCCTCCCCCCAATTATTTCCGTTTTCCACTAAGTTACTCCACACTAATTCATATTTTTATTTATTATTTTTTCAATTATGATAATGACCATGATAACAAAATTTAAAAGTAGATAAATATTAAAATGAACAGCTTAAGCAAAATGATCCGGTAAGTTATTCGAAAGTTTTAAATTTAGAAGTGGCCACATTGTTGATAACACAGAACCGCCTGTTTAAACGTGTTAACACAAAAAGTATAATTGCTTTAGTGAATTCCAAATTATTCAGTGTTTGTTAACAAAGGAGAACGACGACGAAGTAAAATATTCTCATTTTTTGTGCCTATTCATGGGTAAAATAATGTAAGATTTATTGTGACGTGATCTCATTTTAATAACTGTAATATTGCGAAATTAATTTTCTCAGCTTAGGTCATGTCCTCGTCTAAAGACGGCCGTCATAATTACGATCGTGATTCAAGTAGTGACACAGAAGACTATCACGATACTGAGGATCATAGACGTCGAGTGTTCAAAACACGACTTAGGTAATCATCAATGTATAAATATATATATATATTATATTTGATTTAACTGTTTGAATTATTATTATGTTATTGATGTAAAATGTAAACAAAAGCTTACTTTAATCCTAATATGATAAGTGCATATAAACAATGAATTGGAATTTTCTTCAATATAGTAATTTGGTCAGTGGGAAAGCAATATTTATAAAAACTACTCAATTTAATCATTTTATTTAAATTAAATATTAATATGTAACTATTTACAGTTATGGAAGTTCCTTGAAACCTAAATCTTGTTTGGTACAGCGCCATTCAAATAGTAATCAGTTGTCTCTGTCACCGATCAATGAACAACAAACAACTACACTGAGAACTAGGTAAATTTTAACATTTTAATAATTACAATATTTAACAATTTATTGGTAATAATTTACTGTAATTCGATGAATTTTTAAAAATAATCAAATACTTATATATAATTTAATAAATTTCAATATTTTCATTATTGATCATAGGAATATTTAATATAATTTATCAGGGTTTAAAAAAAATTGGAATTTACACTACATACATCCAAGTTCCAAAACTAGAAATATTTGTTATTCTTATGCTATAATTAGACATTTTCATGTTTTAGATTTTCATCTTTAAAATAATGTTTAATTAAACTATCTAACATATACATAATGCCAAGTTTTTTTGTATAATTTTTTTTTTTCTTATTATTATTCAAAGAAAAAAATTTAACGTTTAGATTTATATATAAATATACACCCTATATACATTATTAACTTAACCTACAATAGACTATTCTCATATTTATATGAAATTCTTAAATTTTTTTCTCTCCAGGGCCGTTGTAAAGTTTAATGGGCCTTGGAGCAACTTAAAGCATGAACATACACATGAACATAAAGCATAAATATACAATGGTAAACCAGAGGCAGTTATGGAGTTTAAACTCCCTCCAATAAAATAATATTGGTTGAAATAAAATATATATATATATATATATATATAAATTCATACATATTATTTAAACTGTGCATTTATACACATAATCAAAATTCAGAGATTCCACATAATTTGTTGGAAAAATTCATGACTTTGATTATAAATAACATTTTTTTCACTCTTGCCTTTTAAATTTTTTAAACGGATACAACCACAGAATATAAAATTATACAAGTACTTTAAGTAGGAACAGCTTTTAGTATAAATTATTATTTACTAGTTTTGGATTATATAATTCTTTTTGCTTAGTCTTCAGTCGAAAAGTGAAACAACAACAACAATCAATACTCAAAATTTATATTTTATTTTATTGTGGGAAAAATACCTTCTTTGACATTATTGTTTAAATCTGTGATTATCGCGGTCGATTCATGATAATACCCCGCTACACTGTTGCACTGATAATCAACAATTATTATTCTTAATAAAATATCTATTTTAGTCATTGCACGCCGCATTTCTAGGGATCATCATTAATAATAATTTATAACTATTTTTTGTGCAAACGCAATTGCACAAACTATTTGTAACTAATTTATACAATTCAATTATTTGTTAAATATTAATAACAATGTATAACCTTAAATTTAGCTTACTTTTTCATAGTTAACATATAAAAGCAATGGATGTTGTGATCACTAAAAGTTTGAGGCCTGGAGAAAAATAGTCCCCTTGGCCCTCCCCTCAGCTCTTGATGGCACATTTTCTTACCTTTTAGTTTTTATATCAATTTGATTAAAGTTTAGGAAATCCTATGTTAGTTATTTTTTCCTTGTCTTTATTTAATCATTATTTAAATTAAAAAAAAAACAAGTTAATGTTTTTTAAAATTGTATTTTATCAGGAAAACAATTATATTTACTTATGTTGATATTTTTAATTGCATGTTACTCAATTAATTGTTAATTGAAGAAAAAAAATCCCTAAACTACTATATATAATCCAATGAGATTCCACATTAATTTTTAGTCTGATTTAGTCTTAAATCTATCTATTAATTGTTTGAAAGACTACTTCATAAAAATTAAATTATCTTTAATTTAAGTGTCAATTGCTTTATCACATCTTATTGATATCATTATACATTACTTTTCCTATAAATATTATAATCGTGTATGTACTTCTTTCAGTATTAATTAATATTTATATTATATATGTCCAATAGAAAAGCTATGCCTAGATTTTCTTGCTCAATGAATTCAATGAAAAGTCTGATGAATCAAAATGCAACTACTTCAGGTTTGTCCTATCCAAGTACTTCGGGTTCAAGCCATTTAACTAATTCTAGGAACAACATTGCTAATAAAGAAGAACGAGTTACTCTTATTGTAGATAACACTAGATTTATTGTTGATCCTGCTATATTCATTGCTCATTCAAATACTATGCTTGGAAGGTAATAAACAAACATGATACAATTAATATTAATAATAATAAAAATAATTATAATGTAACTTTTTAGAATGTTTAGTTCTAATGAATACACAAATAAAAATGAACGTGGAGAATATGTGGTTGCTGAAGGTGTTTCAGCAAATGTATTTAGATGCATTTTAGAATATTATAAGGGTAATGTAATGCGATGTCCATCTTCAATTTCTGTACAAGAACTACGAGAAGCTTGTGATTATTTGTTAGTACCATTTGAGGCTAAGACGGTCAAATGCCAGAATTTACGTAAGTAACTATTTATTACTTGTAAGACAAAATTTTTTATATTTTAATAATTTAGGAGGACTATTACATGAGCTATCAAATGAAGGTGCTCGTTGTCAGTTTGAAGTATTTTTAGAGGATCTTATATTACCTCTAATGGTGAATTCTGCTCAACGAGGAGATCGTGAGTGTCATGTAGTTGTTTTACTTGATGATGATTCTGTTGATTGGGATGAAGAATATCCTCCTCAGATGGGAGAAGAATATTCACAAAGTAAAGACTGTTATATTAAACTGTCTAATTTTCATTTTAGATACTTATCCTTTTAATAAGAACATTTGATGTGTTCATCGCACCTTAAAAATTAAAATGATCTACTCCTAATTGGTATTAAATTAATTACATTAACAATTTTTATTGCAGCTGTTAACAGTACTGCCTTGTACAGATTTTTCAAATATATTGAAAACAGAGATGTAGCCAAACAAGTTATGAAAGAACGTGGTCTTAAAAAAATTCGTTTGGGCATTGAAGGTTATCCAACTTATAAAGAAAAAATTAAAAAAAGAGCTGGTGGTCGAGCAGATGTCATATATAATTATGTTCAAAGACCATTCATACATATGTCATGGGAAAAAGAAGAAGCAAAAAGTCGTCATGTAGATTTTCAAGTAAACCATTAAAATCTTTTTTTGTTTATTTAAACTTTTATTTCAAAAACATTCAAGTATATTTACTGTTCTTGTTTTCAAACAGTGTAACATGTTTGACTTTTAGGTTTAAATGAAATAGCCTTTTATTAAATTATTAGGACTAGTAAAATAGTTATTATTTTCTTTTAATTGAGTAACAAAAAATGATTTTTCATTATTTTAAATTTAAAAACAAACCAACATATATATGTATCAATTGAAGGTATAGTTGTAGTATATTTTTTTCAATTTTATTATCATTTAAATAAATATTAAACATAAACCATTAAAATATTAACCTAATACAATTAATAATATTGAACTTTTATACTTTGCTATTCATTATTTTAAATTATTCATTTAATTTGCTTATGTAAGAAATAATTTTTTTGAAAATAATTCTTATATAAGTTTTATTTAAAAGAAAGAAACCATTTAAAGGTATCTTAAGATAAATTAGATTGAAATAAACTTGAATATGATTTACTTTGAAAGACTAGTTCTATTATAAACAATTACAAATGTTTAATATAATTATAAAAATGTTTGTTATCTAGTGTTTAAAATCCAAGTCTGTGACTAATTTAGCAGAAGCAACTGCTGATCCAGTTTTGGAACTGGATGCTAGAGGTAATCCTATGGGTGCAGTATCAATGGATCCAGACATTCGCGTGATTAATGATAATCTTGATCCCGATGATGGTGCTATAGATTCGCCACCTCCTCCTATAGCTTCAGAAGTTGAACAGAACGATGAGTCTCAACCAAATGATCAGTAACTTACGAAAATTTTAAAGAGTGTTTTTTTATTTCATGGAGCAATTAAGTGTGTTTTATAATATTTTTTTTTCTTCAAGCATTATACTATTATTTAATATCATAAAATTGTAATACACTTATCATTTTTATTCTTATAAATTTAAAATTAAATACATTTTCAAAAATATTCTTATATATGATTATTCAATTATTATGATTTATTTATATTTGATTATATTTATGGTTACAAACTAGACTAAATTGACTGATGGAGCACTTTGTTGAATGCATTGTAAGATGATTCAAGATCAAAAATCAATTGTCTCACTTGACTTTCATTTAATTCATCAGATGCATTCATAGATGATAGAGAAGTTAGCCAATCAGATACTTTTTGTTTGCCTTCAAAATCAGCTGGTAAAATACTAAGTCTGTTCATGGTATCCATTAAATCACGAAGGTCAGGTTGAAGTTCATCCATTGCTTTAATATCCAACCTATAATTTTTTTAAATATGTTAAATTTTATACACTATGATTAAAATAAAAATAACTGACAACAAATATATGAGGCATGCAAAATAGACAACAAACAAAATTAAAAAGCAGGTAGGTATATTATAAAAAATAAAACCTTAAGCTGGTATTATTTATTAAATTCTTCTGAAAAAATTAAGAAATTTACAATTGGCATTAATGTAAGTAAAATTTAAAACGTTTATCTTAGTACTTACTATAAAACAATAAATAATTATTGAAAAATTAAATATAAATACCCAAATATTATAAGTATGTAATATTTTAATTTATCAGTAATTTTCTTAAAGGTAAAAAATGAAACTTGGATAATATAAAAAAATGTACTTCATACAGTGGTGTAGGAAGATCCTCTAGCGCCCCTGGTAAATTTAGAAAAAAACGCTTTTTAAAGAATTAAAATTTGATGTCACTAATTTTTTTTTTTTGACCTTTAATTTTACTAATGTTTATAAGTATACAATTTATACTTATAAGTTATTACAGTGTTAATTTTTAAACTTTAAAAATTTGCAATTCTTGCTATATTACTTAGATTATGACATCTATAATTTCTTTATATGAAATATTTTATTTAAATGTCGCTATTTTCATAATTTCATCATTAAATTCACACAGTGTATACAAATAGACAACATCAACATATTTCAAAAAGTACAATAAAATAATTTTGATTTGGTTGTAGGATAAAAATGCGACTTTCGCACAATTTGGTACCCCTTTGTAATTCACGCCCCTGGTTTAGGCACAGTTCACCATACCCTTGCTATGCTACAGACTTCATAACTTAATCTACAATCAGAAATGTTGTATTCAATAACTATTCAATTATAAATATTTAACCTGAATCAATTTATCTTACATTATAAAATAACTAAAAGGTATATTAAACAGCATATTATAACCAATGAAAGTAATAAAGTATTTATTACTATATGAAATGTAATATATCTTTTGATAATCTATAAAAATCAATCCTAATAGTTAAGAAAATATCAGTTTTTTACAATATCTAAACTTAGAAAATGAATAAACCATCTTTTTTTTTTTTATTAATTAACAGCACTAATATAAAATACATGCAAATATTTACAATAATTATATATTATTACTAACCTAAGCTTGTCCATTATTGTTATAAACATGGACACAATGTCTGCAATACATTTACTAGTATTGCCTTTGTCATCTTTAATAGTGATTGGACGATCTTCCTTAATACGCTCTAAAGCTGCTGGACAATCTAATTTATACTTTTTAACAAATGACTCAACCGATGGAAAATCATCACCTTGAATTTGTTTAAAAGAAGCTTTGCACTGGACAAGCAGCTTAGAACACGCTGCTGTGTATTCTTTAGGAGTGACACAATCACGTATGTATGCCTTTTCTAAGTGCTGCAATGTGTTTACCAGTGCATAGAAGTCAGCCATGTTATCATACTTTTCACGTTCACGAGCATTACGAAACAATCGTACTTCTTCGAGCAACTCGGGTCGATTGGCATCATGTGAATCCAACATTTTTAATTTACTAAAATTATTATCGATTTTTAATCAATTAAAAAGCACAGTAGGATTAGATAAACAAAATGTTGGAGAAAAAACGTCACCGTAACTTGTGCGTAGTATAATGAGTAATTAATTAATGATTAACGAGAAGCGATCAGAGGATAAAATATTTATTATTGATAAATATTAAATTATATTAAATTAAAAATTAATTATATGTATAACAATCTATAAAATCATAGATTATATAAAACAGTTTAATGTAATCTGTGATAAAACAATACAATAAATATTATCGTTAATTTGTTATCAAAAATTCAGAAATTAAATTATGAAAAAATAGATAATAAAGAAATTCTTTATTATCTATGGCGAAAAAATATTATGTTATCAGTAAACAGTTGTCATTGTTGTCAACTTTCCACAAATTTTTCTAACAGTATTTATTAGTACTCGAATCAAAGCAGGAAGTCAGAAATGAACCAATACAACAAAGCAGGCACGGCTCCAATTTTTTTTCCTTGAAGGGCGATAAAGGACAAATCTCAAAAATTTTACTTCTGTCAAGGAAAAAAAATATATGTATCATTATGGAATACTATAAAATACTATATAAGTGCATTTCTCTATTTATTATAAATTCAACTATATAAGTGCATTTTTGTATATCACATAAATGTAATATATAATAATAATATTTAAAATGAAAAAATACCATTCAAAGTAAGATTTAAATGTGAAAACGTTTTTAAATAAGTATTATTTTTCTATTGTGATGAGTTAAAATCTTGTCCACAACGTTTTCTACGTCTACGTTTTTGAGAATATAGAACTGATAATTAATCATTTTTACTGACGTCATTGTTTTCATCAGTTAAAACTGAAAAGTACTTAGATTTTTGTATCTCATTTGCAATTGATTCGATAATCAACTCATAATACTAAATACCTATTTAATTTTGTATACTATGATTTATCATATATTACTGATGTATCACTGATATATATATATTTTACATTTGTTAGAAACTCGTCATTTTTTTTTTTTTTATTGTAATCTTATATGTTTTTTTCACAGAAAAATTTAAAAGTTCAAAAAAGTTACCTTTTTTTTCTTCTAATTGAATCGAAGACCGAGCGGGCGTTGTTTTTTACATTACTGCCGCTCGGACCCCATTATTTATTAATTAAATGAATATGTTATACGTACTGGTCCCACTCCAGTTGACCGCACAATTAACAATCAGATGTCAAATGAAGTGGGACCGTGACCTAGCTACAGATTATGTTACGTTTTGATTATGATATGATACATTTATGATACTTCTCGTCGTTTTAGGTTGGATAAGTTTCCACGGTTTTGATCAGTCATGGTGCCATAGACGGATTGTTGAACAGTTTGGGCGATGGCACCTCCACCGTGAGTTGACCGTTCTTTTGCCCTGCATTACTGCATTCGCCGTCCATGGGTATTTTGCCGTTTTCTTCACGGCCCGGCTCTCAGAACCCACCGACCTGTGGTGGTTGTAGTTTCCCAGGAGCCGCTCTCTCCGCTTCCAGCTCGTTCTCCTCTTAAATGGAAAGGATTGTTTTCGCCATGTCCAGGAATATCTTCCTGCCTCGAGAATATGTTGCTAGAAGACACGAATATCGGCCAGGATCATCTTATCTTCTCGGTAGGTCGAGCAGTACCTTCACATCAATGAGAAGTGGGCCTAGTCCGCCGTTGAACCGTCTTGTGGCGAGGCGGTATTCATTCCAGTGCGGCACGAGAAAATAGCGTGTTCCTCTGTGTCTTCGTGGTTGCTCCACTATAGGCAGGTAGCGTCCGGGGACCTGTTCGTTCTATGGAGGTAGTGACGGAAAAATCCGTGTCCCGTCAGGGCCTGGGTCATCCAGTAGGTGAGTGTAGTGTTGGGTCTTTCCAGTCACCTCTGCCCATTCGGTCCAGAGTATGTGTCCACCTGGCCGTGATTTTCCTGTCTAAAAAGTTATCTTTATTTATGCTTTCACGCTTTCATTATCTTTACGTAGAACAGTGTTTTGACAGGCCGTAAAAAGTAATACATATTTCTGCAACTGTTGAATATGATAACGATTTTCTTTTATAAATATTTAATTAATTTTCTAAATAAATAATAGCTAAAATAGATTTATCAGTTTTTTCTATTATTATAAACCCTTTCCATTTAGTCATAAATAATTTATTATTTATTATTTTTTCTATAGTTTGTTTCCAATTCTTAAATCCTGAATCGGAAAACTGTGATCACAGGGAGGGAGCTTGAGGGGATTAATTCCCCCCCCCAAAGTTTAAAATAGAGGTCTTAGTCCCCCTGGTCATCTGGTTTTAACAACAAAAACGCCTTATAATTATTGTCACAAACTACCAAATATAACTGAAATTTCTTGACAACTTTTAAATTGAAAATGGGTCACAAAAAACAAAAATATATTGATTTTTGATACCTTATAAAATTGACAATATTGTGATTTTTCGAACTATATTAATCAGATAATTAGTGTATACTCGTATAATAAATTGTATTTACGTTTGTCCCGTTTATTAGTAAACTGAACACTGTGGATTTGACAGAAATCCAATAATATATTATTATTAACTTATTATTATTGTTTGGGTCGTTTTGGCTTGTCTTATAAAATATAAGTAATAACATTATTTTTATTATGGATAAAATATAATTCTGTCTGTGACCGTGGTTCCACCATATTCATATATATATATCCACACTTGACTGATATGTACTATCGAGTACAGGCTGAATTTAGTGCAGATTTTTTACTGTGCTTGTTAACATGGATATTTTGTATTAAATACTTATTTAAGTTATTATCAAGTTCATTTGTTATTAATTTGTTTACTCGTATATTAATAAATATAGAGTGTCTCAAAAAGAATGTAGGATTTAAATCTACTATAAAATAAATTTATTTCTCTTAAAAAAAACATAATAAATACTCTCTTGAGGAGAAGTTAAGGTTTAACTGTGAAAAACAATATCGAATATATGACCTCCCCTTTATTTGCCCTACAGGCAGGTCAGTGGAGAGAGAAATCCGGGCCCGGGGTATATCTTAATTTTTTCAGCAGTGTTCATTAAATTCTTATCGTTAATTGTATTTAATTTTTAATAATTTGTACTCCCTAATTTTTGGGGTTTCTTAAAATCCCGGGCCTGGGGGTCATCCCTTTACTCCGCCCTTCCTTCTCGTCAGGCATGTCTACAGACAATTATTATTTCCATGCAATTTACAATCACTCGATGACACATTGCCCCATCAAGTTCGTTGAGGAAACGACGTATTTCTTGCTTAAGTTCTAAGACATTTCGATCTTTGTTCTGGTAAACTCGTGACTTAGAGTACCCCCATTAGAAAAAATCACACGGCGTCAAGTCGCAAAATCAAGGTTGATAGCTTTGGTCTCCGTGTAACGAGATTAGTATGTCCAATAACTTCTCACGCAGCAGAGCGATTGTTTCTCTTGATGTGTGACAAGTTGAAATCACACATTTTCGTTGTTCGTTTGGTTCAAACGAGGCCAAAGAAAATTTCTGAGCTCTGTAGGTATTTTTGTATGGTTTCAACAAGACGGCGCAACTTATTACACTTCAACGGAGCTTTAAGGAACTAGGTAATTTACCAACTAGATCACTCTATAAAAAAATTTCCAACTTGTTCACTTTTTAAAGATTTATACAAGATAAAGATTTCAAACTTTTGGAAGGTAAAAGAGAAAATATATTGTATAATATATCTGTTAAATATTCTTATAAATATTTTGGTCAAACTTTTGTTAATTATTTAGGGCCAGTGTTATTTAACTCTATGCCATGTCAATATAAAAAGAATATTCACTATTCTAAAATTAATGTTAAAAAAATTATGTATCATTGGTTGTTTTCTCAATTAGTCTAAGTCCTTTATATGTTTTTGTTATATTTAACTTTCAACATTATATTTTATACTTACAATTTTTTAAAATTCTGTTTAATTTATCACTTTATTTTGTTACTTACCTACTTGATATAATGTGTTTTTTTTAATAATTAAGTATTACTCTCTCTATCTGTAACATAAACTATTACCTTAAAAGAGATAGATATTTTAAAGCTAAAATATTGTTCTTGGTTAATAAAAAAAAAAAAAAAAATTAGTCCTCCTTATCGCCCTTGAATACTGCTATATAAAATGCAACAAATTAATATACAAATTATTATCTAAAGGAGCGGGGGGCTGTGGCTCCGCCGACACCCCCTGTGGATGACCTTGGATGAGTCCATAGTATGTAGATTTGGTAAAAGATTATAGAGAAGAGAATAAGAAGTGAGACATCAATATCGGAAAATCAGTTTAGTTCTATGCTAGGAAAATCGACAGTGGAGCCATTATTTTAAGTTACACAACTATTGGAGTTCAGGGAAAAGAAGAAAAACTTATGCATGGTGTTTATAGATTTAGAAAAGGCGTATGACTGAGTGCCAAGAGAAGTTTTAAAGTGAACATTTATGAGAAAGGTGGTCTTAAAAATATATATAAATTTGATATGTATGAAGGCTCAATTTGTGTAAAGAGTAAAATTAATTGTTGAACGAGTATTGGTTATGCCAGTAAGTTCAACATCAGACGAAAGAAGTTTTTTGATCATGTAAAAATCAAGATATATTTACGGACATCTATGATTACATAATTGAGGGTTGACATCAATCAAAAGAAAGTTCAGTTTGGAGATAATCCTACAAAGATTTTGACGAGTAAACCAAAAATGAAAAATATAAAAATATATATACAAAATTAATATTATAAATATTTATTGTTATTAGTACATATTATTACCTACACTACTAAAAAGTAAATTTAAAAACTTATTAATTAAAATTCTTTATATTATATAAATTATTGTTATACCAGGCCTATCTTAAATTTTAACTCTGGAATTTACTCTGGATAGACACAATTGCGCACTTTTTCCTTTTTTTACTTAAGATATTGCAAAATGATTGCGTGCCTAATATTATATGTACCCAGGGTTTTTATGTATATGAAATCACATAATTTTATTCTATTTATCCAAAAAACTTATATGCAAATTTATTTATATTCTATAAAATTAAATAATATTATTATTATTCTGCATAGATTTTAATTTTAAATTCATATTTTAGGATTTTAAA